TTGTATTAGACAGGAAAAAATACAGGAATAAAAGTACATAAAATAAGATATATTCTTTGAGGAAAATAGCAACCACCTCAGAATATCCTTAGCATCAGCACATGAGAAGTGAATGAGAAATCAAGCTGGCTAAAATGTCTCTCACAATCTTAAATGTAGGGGGCTTTTTATTGGCAACAGTGCTTAGGTACCATGGTAATAGTCATTAGACAGGAAAAAATACAGGAATAAAAGTACATAAAATAAGATATATTCTTTGAGGAAAATAGCAACCACCTCAGAATATCCTTAGCATCAGCACATGAGAAGTGAATGAGAAATCAAGCTGGCTAAAATGTCTCTCACAATCTTAAATGTAGGGGGCTTTTTATTGGCAACAGTGCTTAGGTACCATGGTAATAGTCCCATAAATAATTAAAATTAATAAATGTATGTCACAAGAACCAACCAAGATTACAGTTAAATGGATGGCTGAAAATACGCACAGATAACAGAGAGCACTTACATCTAAACTTACAATGACAGCAAAGCCTGAATTAGACAGAGGAAAAATAATCTTCCACTTACTTGCACTCTAGATTCTCAAAAGTTTCTCTCAAATTATAGGAGAAGACCATAAACTGTATATTAATTTTAAAAAACTACATAACAGGAATATGCTGGATTTAGGTTTACTGTTTTTGTAAATTAATACATTTAGACATCACAAACACTTTCCCAACTTTACAGTGTTTACAAACCTAAGAATATAACCTCTGATACCATTTGCTATATCCCTCAATTCCTGCAACACAGATGTGAATTGTACGTACAGCTTTTTATAGGAAATAAGGAACACACACTAAAGCAGCGTTTCTTAAAGCATGTTCCGCGGCGCACCGATGTACCGCGAGACAGTCAGAGGTGTGCCGCAGAGAGAATAGAATTCAAAATGGCAGCCCTTAAAGGAGCAAGCCTCCTTTTTTTTTGCTCAACAATTTTTCCCTGGGGCAGCTTTTCCCAAACAGTGCTCTGTCGAACCCCGGGGTTCCGCAAAGTGGAACTCAGGGTTCCCCCAAAAAATTCTGCTCCCCTGCCCCCTGCTCTCCCACTGTGGCTGCCTCCTCCCTAGCCCGCAGGACAACCCCTGTTCCACGGGGCCTCCGGTGCTGCGCAGCCTCCTCCTCCTCCACATGTGCAGGTGGCTGCTTTTGTAGTGGCCACTGCTGCTGGGAGGGGGTGGGGTGGCCAGAGCTGAGGAGCCGCTCCTGGACCTTGGCGTTTTAAAATTGCCGTCTGCAGGGAACCCGGCTTAGGCTCTGCCACCCCACATCCCCACCTGGGGTGCGTTCGGGCTCTGCTGTCCCCTCCTTGGGGCACACTCGGGCTCTGCTTTCCCCCTCGCCTGCGGCGCGCTCGGGCTCTGCTGCCCCCCATGCTCTGCTGCTCTCTCTCCCCTGTGCCCCTCCCCAGCCTGCTGAGGAACTGGCAGAGTTTAATCTGGCAGGGACATTTGGAGTTTCTACTCCCCCCCCGTCCCCCGCGCCCTGCCAGCGGGAAGCCTGGCCTGGTATTGCAGCTGCGCTGGGTTCCCTGCTACATGGGTGCGGGGGAGGGGGAGAAGGAACTGAGTTCTCCCCGCGCCCCCAAGGAACAAGAACATGCTCCCTGGAGGCTTTCCCTGCTGCAGCAGGGTGCCAAGCCAGGTAAGCGTCCCCCCTCATGACCATATATTGACTGGAAATATGTGATCACACTAATTAATATTTTAAAACATTACATTCATTCATATTTTAAAATTCTGCAGTATAAGGAAACTGACGAATCGTAACGTAAACCAGAAACCCACATTTCAAGATATTCCAGATATTAGCTTACCGAAACTCAGATTAATGGCATTCTTATGGTATTCACCTTCTCTCTTTTCCCTTTCAATGAAGAGAAACAGAAACCACTGTAATGTAGGCATCTCTAACTCTTGGAGTAGAGAGCATAATGGTGCAACCTACTTGGCTTGTAGGAAGCATGATGCACACATTAGAGCTGGAGGAATAATTTCCAAGTTGGCATATCTGTGCTTTGATCAAACTAATGCACTAGAAATAGCAATGTGACAGTGGCTACATGGTTAACAGTGTGCCTAGGATTTCAGATAGGATTGTACTCAGGATGGCTAGTGCATCTCACCGCCTGGGCAACAGCTGCTACACTGCAATTTTTTGAGTGCTAGCTTGATCAGAGATTCAGAGCTAGCATGGGTATGCTTACCTATGCTGGAAATTGCACCTTCCAGTTTACAAACAGCCCCACACTGATTCACTGGTTCTCAAACATCAGTAAGCTGCACTTAGTCTCTCTCCTCCTGCAGTGAGTGTGGACTGGCAAGTTTCTAATGTACACCCATCTACATAATAGACTTTTCAAAAGACTTTCTTACCTTGGAAAGGAAAATAAAATCATTTTCAAAAGTTTTAAAATATGGTTTTTTTCTTTCTTACTGCTTCCCTTGTCTCTCTTTTTGTCCAGACCAGTAATAATTAATACATAACAATGCTCCAGCTCAGTAAAAAATCAGCAATAAAAGGAGATAGGAGAAGCATAATTTGTATTTAAAAATAAAGTAAGAAGAAAATTAGTCTTTTCCATTTCTCATTTTAAATTTTGTAAGTCAGTCAGAAAGCTTTTCAATTCAGAACAAACTATAACTTAATAGGCATGTGTTCCCTCTGTTATCTACTGGCAAAATCAAGAACTTTAAGGCATTTTCACTGGGCAAGAGATAGCAGTAGAAGCAGGCACCCAAATTACACAGGTTAAAAGAAGAGAAGCTAATAGTTAACAGCAACCCTGGCATTTAAATTATATCAGCTGAAAACCCTTTCCCTCTCTAAGAGGGAAATTCTTGTCACCCGATTCTAATCTTAGCTAAACAGGATCTATATATGAGATTTCATTGGAGATATAAGGAAACAGAATTCTTCTCCCAAACACCCATATATATACAACATTGCACAGTAGTTTCTACTACAGGTTACATAGTGTTTTGTTCATTGGAACCATCTATTTTGCAGATTTTGCTGGAAATGGCAAAACTGAGGGAAGTCAGGGATTGTAAAATATCCTATCTTTTGCAGTATATTTTCTTCTCTTACTGCTGGCTCTGCAGCAGCTGAAAACTAAATTAAACCAGCACTACATACTGTGATGTTCACATGCGGTAAAGACATTAGAACAAAACCAGCAGGTTAAGTTTAAAACCCTCTTGTCTACATGACAATGGTCGCTGTTGCAGCAGAAGGCGCGACTGCAGCACTGCTAGCAACAGAAGTTGTGCACAGCTATTAATATTCCAGGTTTGTAGCTGCCTATTGGGTTTGATAGCTAGCTGCTAGAGGAGACATTTCAAGGATGAGTTCTGACTAATGTAATTTTATAGTAAGTGTGTTTGTGCAGAACTATGCAATTCTGAATGGCGATCTGGTCAAAAACTGGGATTTTTACCTCAGAGGAAATTCCAATATTTCATTTTTTTTTTAATTTTCTCAAACAGAAAGAAACCAATGTTGCGTAATAGCAGTCCAGTCAGCGAGTCTGGCCCATAGAGGGAAATGGGGCTGTGAGACACCCAAACTTTAACTTTTTTGTTCAGGTGGACACAAAATACTAGTAAACTGACCCAAATCAGAATTCTTCAACTCATTCATCTTATCCCAGATGAAATATTCAGGTTAGATTTTTCTCAACAGAAAAATGAAAAATTTTGGCAAGAATCAAAACATTCTAGCAGATCATTTCAATTAGAAATGACATTTTCAGTTGAAATTTGAGGGGAAATTCCTAACCAGTTCTGCCCTAGTGGCTTATACACAAAGTGCATAAAAAAGCCTTAATGATAACTGCCATCAATTGTACATCTTTTGGACCCAAGTGATAGAAGCTAGTGTTTTTCTGGAGCCAAAGACAAACAAGTAAAGAATTCCTCAAGTAAAGGCCCACACTTAGGGTGTGTCTAGACTACAGAGTTTTGTCGACAAAAGTGGACTTTTGTCGACAAAACTATACCTGCATCTACACTACCGCTGAGTTCTGTCGACATAACGTCGACAGAACTCAGCAGTTTTGTCGACGCTGGTAAACCCCATTTTACGAGGCATAACGCCTTCTGTCGACAGAGTTCTGTCGACAGAAGGTGTTATTGCATGTAGGGTTGTGTCTAGACTACAGGGGTTTGTCGACAAAGCAGCTTGCTTTGTCAACAGAACTGAATGTAGTCTAGATGCTCTTTGTCGACAGAAGCTTTGTCAACAGTATCTGTCGACAAAACCCTGTAGTCTAGATGTACCCTTAGACATGCTTCTCAGAGAAAAGTAGTACAAACTTTTTCTGACAAGAAAACATGGCTTTGAAGTGTTTTAAGATTTGCAGAGAATTGTGGAGGGTTTTTTTTGGGTGGGGGGGAGGCAAAGGGTTTGCAATAAGTTACAGATTAAAGTTTTTCAAAATGTTCCATGGAGTGTAATTATTATCCAGATATAATTGCCTTAGAATCTAAAGAGAAATTGTAATGTTTTACATCTGGAACTGCTATGACTGGAAATGGACTGAATTAGCAGCATTGAGTTACTAAATATTTTAAAAGGAAATAACTAATGAAACCAGCAGTCCAGCAAACTCCTTCATAAATAAACACTATAGAAGCAAAATAGACACAAGTGGTTCTGCAGAAATGTTCCACACATCCTGTGAGCCGGATTAAAAGAAAAAGACTTTTTCAGAAAACTGATACTTCAGGATGTTGCAGTTTTTCACTAAGCCTCATGTAACAAAAAAAAGGAAATGCAGACATAATCCTTTCCTCCTCCTTTTGTCTTTATTTTCAAACACCTTAAATAGAAAATGGACTAGAAAATTATGAAAGCACTGAAAGAGAAACAAATTATTCCAGAGCCGGTTTTCACAAGAGACTAGTATATACCACAATGCAACTATTCTTACCTTGTCGATCATATCCGGTCGGTTTGTAGCTGCCAAAATTGTCACGTCCTTTAACTGTTCTATCCCATCCATTTCCGTTAACAGCTGAGCCAAGACACGATCTGCTACATTCCCAGCACCTGAAGACCTAATTAACAAAAATGGCACTACATTAGTTTTCCCATCCTTGATCATAATCTAATGAGAAAGGATTTATTCTTCTGTAAAAAACACGACAAAACTGACATTTTATTGAACAACTTTCTCATTTTCCACTTTCACCTTCAGTACCTGAAATAAAAAATAACATCAATCACGGAAACTAGTCAGGGCAATATTCCAGAATTAGCCCTCCAAAAGATTTTTCAGTATTCATAGAAATAGCTGGGCTTGTCACTTACTATCTTGTCATTATAGACTAGACAAGATTTTCACACAATATAAATAATTTAGTGTAAATATTTCTAAGGTGGGAACTACTGGATTCACTTGGCTTCCTAACTAAACAGACAAAACTTCAGTTCCTACCACTGCCCAGGTGATTGCTTATGCCACCCAATGCAGTATAGAGTACAAGTACTTCTGCATTTTGCAATGTTCCACTATATTTTCCCTTCTTCAATCTCCATCAAATAAGACCAATTTGAGTGCTAGCCAATTAACTCATAAAAGCATTTCCTGCCTTTATAATTCATCCATCTGTTTCTCCAGATGTTATAAAGAGAAGGAAAAAAGAAGGAGGAAGATACAAGTCTTGAAAGATACAAGTCAAGTTTTGAAATCCCCAATACATTAAAACCCAAAACAGAAGTATAAAATATTTTATGCAGTTGAAAAAGTTTGGGAACTGATTCTAGTGGCACTAAAATTAATGGCAAAATTCTTAAATACCAGTGAAGGAAATGTTGTTAAAAAGTCATTTGGCATTTTCATTATAGCTTCTGATTTTTAAAGCTTGCTACACTATATCGGGCTAACTGTAAAGTTAGCCAACTGCCTTCTGCCCAAGTAAATGTATGTACATAGAAGATTTATGGTGCATAAATCAAAGTAAAGAAACAAACTGATTACTTAAATAAAGGTTGTGATATTATTAAAATGTGTTGTTGCTGCTGCTGTTGTTTTTAAAACACCCTAGCCCGTCTGAATAGAAGCAAAGCTATGCCTACAGATTCACAAGTTTGGGACAAGACTTTGAACTCTTGGCTTCTGAGATGGGTAAGATTTTCTATGGAGCGAAAGCAAGATACTTAATCTCCTGAAGGCAAAGACAATCTACAGCTTTATTCCAAAAGCTCCCTCTGCTGAACAACTGCTGTAAGTAGAGTTGAGAAGTTTAAACAGGTGGGGGAGGAAAGAAAGGGGTAAAGCCAAACAGTGTAAAGAATATCTTACTGACCTTTAACAGAATTTAAATAATAGAATTACGGCCTTCTCTTTAGACAGGCTAAAATTCAAGCTACGTCTAGACTGCAAGCTTCTTTTGGAAGAAGCTTTTCCAGAACAGATCTTCTGAAAAAACTTCTTCCGAAAAAACGCGTCCATACTGCCAAAGTGCATCTGCTTTTTCGAAAGATACTGTCCAGACTGATTGGACTCTAGCATAAAAGGCCACCTGGAACCACTTCAGGCAGGGCTTTAGGTCACCAGTTGCTTCCAAGTGCTGGCGTCAGAGTCTAGCAGAGACACGCGCTTAAAGGGACTCCCCTGGACAGCCGTTTCTCTGCTTCTGCTGCGTGTCTGCCCACCTCTTCGAGGGACAGCAAAGCTCTAGCTGTGCGTGATGTGGTTCTTTGGACGCCACAGCTTTCTCCTTTGTGCCATGGAGCCGGAGCTGCCCCTGAGCATGCGATGGCCCCACACAGCCATGCTGCAGTTTCTGTAGCACTTTGTGCCGGCTGCCTTCCCGGTCCAGACCAAGCTTGACCCCGAGCTCATTCTTGGGACCCTCTCCCTGGGTGCGGGAGCAACGCTCTTGCCACCACAACCCTCAGTGGAGAGGCGTTTCTAGAGGTGGAGAGGTGTTCCTGGAGGCCGGACACCAGTTCTGCCTGGTGGGACTGGCTGGTCATGGAGCGGTGGGACGACAGCAGTGGCTCCAAAACTTCCACATGCTCAGCGATTTGAGCATTGGCCTGCTAAACCCAGGGTTGTGAGTTCAGGCCATTTAGGGATCTGGGGTAATTCTGTCAGGGATGATACTTGGTCCTGCTGTGTGGGAAGGGGACTGGACTCAATGACCTCTCATAGTCCCTTCCACCTCTATGAGATAGGTATATCTCCAACCAATTCAGCATGGGGAAGTCCACCATCAGGGCCCTACTCATGGAGGTAAGGCACTCTTGGGCTACAGTCCCTGCATTTTGGGGGGATGAAGGGGGGAGCCTGGGGAAAGGGGGAGAGGGAGGTTGGGGGTGGGGGGATGGAGTGGGAGTGGGGGCAAGCCCCGTCCCTGGGGAGTTGTGCCATTCCTCCCTCACACAGCCCTGCTGCTGGGAGGTTGGCATCATAGGGTGTGGCTCCTGGGTGTTTAAGGACAGGAGGGGGGGCAGCCAAGTGCTCAAGCTCTCATTCTCTCTTTTGTGTGTTTGCTTGTCTCCTTCCGTAGGTGGTGAGGGCCAATCAACTCCATCCTGCTGCGCAGGGTCATCCGCCTGGCAGACCTGGATCTGATCGTGACCAGATTTGTTGCCCTGGGATTCCCAAACTGCGGGGGAGCAAGTGATGGACCCACATCCCAATCCGCACACCTCAACATGGAGCAGCCCTGTACATTAACCACAAGGGCTACTTTTCTATGGTGCTGCAGGCTTTTTGTCAATCACCGTGGACAGTTCACGGACATTTTTATAATGTGGTCGGGCACAGCACTCTAGCCACTACAGGAAGCTAGAGAAGGGCACATTCTTCCCCATCCGGGACTTTGCGATTGGGGACATGCAGATTCCACTGTGCATCGTGGGGCACACGGCCTACCCCCTGATGCCGTGGCTAATGAAGTCTTATACCAGCCATCCGGACCCCAGCAGGGACCAATATAATGCCCACCTGAACCACGCCAGGATCCAGGGGGAGTGTACCTTCGGCCGCCTCAAGGCGTGGTTCAGGTGCCTCCTGACGCTCCTGGACATGGGGGAGCACAACATCCCTGAGGTGGTGTCAGTATGTTATGTCCTCCACAACATTGTGGAGAGGATGGGGGAGGACTTCCTCCAGTGGTGGGGGGCAGAGGCCGAGGCCGGCCACGAGAGAGACCCTTTGAGCAATCATGGACAGCTGCCATCCTCCAGGCACATCAGGATGGGGTGCAAATCTGGATGGCCCTGAGAGAGAGTTTCTCTCAAGAACCCGAGTAACTCTCCGCAGGGCCTCCGGCTTGCTACACTATCCCTTTCCCACCACAATCCCTCCCTTCTCCCCTTCCCTGACCTCTCAATAAAGACACTTCTTTGGTTTTGAACATAAGGAAGTTTGTATTTGTCTTTTAAAAAGGGGGAGGGGGAGGAGAAGAATCTGGATGGCCCTGAGAGAGAGTTTCTCTCAAGAACCCGAGTAACTCTCCGCAGGGCCTCCGGCTTGCTACACTATCCCTTTCCCACCACAATCCCTCCCTTCTCCCCTTCCCTGACCTCTCAATAAAGACACTTCTTTGGTTTTGAACATAAGGAAGTTTGTATTTGTCTTTTAAAAAGGGGGAGGGGGAGGAGAAGCTAATAACCTGGAAGGGGAGGGGGGGGGCTCAGAGTGACATGGGAGGCAGCTGGATCTGCCACCTCAGATGGGGGACCTCATCGGACTTAGGGTTGGGTGGGTTCTGGGACCATAGGGGGCTGGAGCACGGTCAGGGATGGCAGGGGGGAGCTGGAGGGGGAGGGGGGGGGCTCAGAGTGACATGGGAGGCAGCTGGATCTGCCACCTCAGATGGGGGACCTCATCGGACTTAGGGTTGGGTGGGTTCTGGGACCATAGGGGGCTGGAGCACGGTCAGGGATGGCAGGGGGGAGGGGCCATGGGCATTGCTTGAGGAGGAAGCAGAGGCATCACTTGGTGGGTGGAAGGGATGGGGGGAGGAATGGGCATAGCAGGTTGGCAGGAGGGTGGTAGGCAGGAGCAATGACAGCAGCCAGGTGTGCCATCATTTCCCTCATGATGGCACACATGCTATTGCGCCGCTACATGAGTTTGTCTCACATGGGGTTCTGCCACTCTGCGTCCTCCCCGATCTTTTGCGCCAGGGTCTGCTGCATGTCGTGCAGGACACTGACATGCTGCTGCATCAGGTTTTCCTGGACCCTGGAGCACTTTCGGGTCCCCCAGGCTCTGGCAGCCGGCTCGGGTGGTGTGGCTCGCCCCTCACTCCCGACTGGTCCGGCTGGGGAGAATAAAAACAGGTAGAGGTGGTCAGTCATCCATGTAGAATAGTAATAGAGATGTAGCCATGTTAGTCTGGTCTAGCTGAAACAAAAAAGACAGGACTATGCAGCACTTTAAAGACTAACAAGATGGTTTATTAGGTGATGAGCTTTTGTGGGCCAGACCCACTTCCTCAGATCAAATTGTGGAAGAAAATTGGCATGACCATATATACCAAAGGGATACAATTAAAGAAAGTGAACACACATAAAATTGACAAATCAGATTTTAGAACAGAAGGGGGATGAGGGGAGGAGGTCTGTTCTAAAATCTGATTTGTCAATTTTATGTGTGTTCACTTTCTTTAATTGTATCCCTTTGGTATATATGGTCATGCCAATTTTCTTCCACAATTTGATCTGAGGAAGTGGGTCTGGCCCACGAAAGCTCATCACCTATTAAACCATCTTGTTAGTCTTTAAAGTGCTGCATAGTCCTATCTTTTGTTTCAGTCATCCATGTCGACACTGTACTTGAGGCCATGCCCTCCTCCATGAGCAGTGACCAACACTCCTCAGGCCAGAGGAGGGGGATGTCCCGGGAGCAAGGCCATGTGTGGCCTTCACAATAGGCCCTGCCTCACAGGAGTCCCGAGGTGCCCAGGGGACCATGCTGCCTATTTCCCTCCCCCCGGCCCATGGACAAACAGACAAGGGAAGTGTCCAGCAACAGTGGGATCCCCCCACGGGTGTCAGAGTTGCTGGGAGCACCCCGGCCCTCCCTGGTGCCCGAACA